TCCGATGAGCTCGGGTGAGTTTTGGATAGGCTACGAACTATTTCGGACTTGGAAGATTGCTCGTTTCAGTGATTTCTGGTGTCTGGTGCTTTGTTCTTCGCGATCGCGAAGCCACTCTCACGATCGCGAAGGGTTACCTGAGATGGGGTGGTATTTCTTCTATGCAAACGCGAGGTTGAGGACGCGAACGCGAAGCAGTTGTGGGATCACCCTTCGCGAACGCGACCAATACCACGCGAACGCGATAGGTGATGGGTCTGGAGGGGGTGGGGTCTGTTGGGTGTTCTACGCGAACGCATATTTTGGGACGTGAACGCGAATGCCAGGGGGAAGGGCCATCGAGAACGCGAAGGCTAGTTGGGCCACAGTGCTTCGCGATCGCGTCAGGTCCTTCGCGAACGCGAAGAAGACCTAACACCCAATCTTTTAAACTTCTAAAAATCGGGATTTAACCCATTTTTCACCATTTCCAAGTTTGAGCTCGGCCTAGAGGCAATTGTGAAGGAAAATTTCATCCCAACTTCATAGGTTAGTAGATTTTAACTCGTTTTCTTCCATTTCCATCAACACCCATTGATTTCTAAGCTTTTTCATGGTAGAAATTAGGAATTTAGGTAGAAATTGGGAATTTTGAGAAATTGAGATTTATACCTCAAATTGAGGTCAACCTTTGAAGCTAATCACATAACCGGGCTCGGGGGTGAATGGATAATCGTGTTTTGGTCCGAATCTCAGGTTTTGACCAAACGAGCCTGGGGTTGACTTTTGTTGACTTTTTTCAAAATCATTAAAGATTGAATATTTTTCACTCGTGGGTAGTGTCTAATGCTTATTTTGAATTGTTTGAACTATATTTGGTTAGATTCGATTGGTTTGGAGGCGAATTTTAGAGAAAAGACCCTAGTTGAGCTTTGATTTGATTGCGGAGTGAGGTAAGTGTTCGATCTAACCTTGACTTGAGGGAATTAGGATATTTGTATAGTTATGTGGATTATGTGGAATAAGGGAGGATTATGATATTGATTAATGATGATATGGTGGGATCGGGTTGCACGCCACAATAGATTGTTTATGTTATACTTGGTATTAATAAAGGATATTATGGTAGGATCGGATTGCGCGCCGCAACGGATGGTGTGTGTTGTACCTGTTGTTGTTGTTGTTGCGTTAGTTTCAACATTTTTATATGAGAGTGCGAGGTTGGTTATCCTGGGCTTTCTGATAGTGAGGTTTGAGTTCATTATCATAAATTAACTGCTATACTTTCATTTTCTATTTTCTTTTTCTATTATTATTATTATTATTATTATTATTATTATTATTATTATTATTATTATTATTATTATTATTATTATTATTATTATTAGTGCGTACAAGTTATTGTAAGTGGTCCGCTTTAGCCTCGTCTCTATTTCGTCGAGGTTAGGCTCGATACTTACAGAGTACATGAGGTCGGTTGTACTCATACTACACTATGCACTTCTTGTGCAGATACCGGAATGGGTCCTAGCGGCATTCAGTAGATTCTGCTCGGATCCAGTTGTTGACGGAGACTTGAGGTACATTTGCATAACGTTCGCAGCCCTGAAGTCCCCTTCCCTCCTATCTTTACTGTTTTTGAGTTTCAAAATACTGTATTTTATTCAGCCCATGTTTGTAGCCTCTAGATGTTCACGTACTCGTGACACCAATTTCTGGGTTATGTTTAGACTCGCTATTCTGTATTATCATACTATGCTTCAGGCTTATATCATTTTCATTGTTATTATCTTGTCGTAAATTGTTAAAATCAGTAAATTTTTTGTTCACGTCGGCTTGCCTAGCAAGTAGATGTTAGGTGCCATCATAACCCCGAGGTTGAGATTCCTAGTCGTGACAATTCACCTGCGTAGACTCATTAAAAAAACATCCCTACCAAAAGAATTTCTATTTCGAGAGCTTGAATCTGAGACCTCTAATTAAGAAAGATCTCTTCTAT